TTTTCGATTGTTCTTTAGTTTGGGTCTGTTCTTTTTTTTTATTAGTTTTTTAGTTGATTTATTCATTCATTCATTTGTTTGTTCTTTTCATTGTTTGTTTGGTTATTATTTTGTCAGTCATTTTTAAAATATTTATTTCATTCATTTGACATTAATTCATTCATTTTTTTCCATTTTTGGTCAGTAGTTTGTTGTTTTTCTTTTATTTATTTATTTTTTTGTTTTGTTTGTTTAGGCCTTTTTAGTTTGTTCATTTGTTAATTTTTTCCTTTTTTCCTTTTTTTGTTGGATCATTTGTTTGTTCAAACTGTTTTTTTTCCCCAAATATATATTTGTTCATTCATCAATTTGTTACTTGATTGATTGATTGACTGATTCAATCACTGATTGATAATCAATCAGTTAAACAATGTTTCAATCTTTCAGTCTTTCAATTATTCCTTGTTTGTTTGCTTGGTTGTTGGTTAATTCTTTTTGTTCAATAATTTTTTTCAAGCATATATTTGTTCATTCATTACTTGATTAATCAATCAATCAATCAATCAAACTATCAGTCTTTCAATCATTCCTTTTTTGTTTGTTTTTGGTCATTCAGTAGTTTTTACCTTGCATTTGTTTTTGTTTGTTCATTTGTTTTATGTGCATTGTTTTTTCTTTAATTTGTTCAAATGTAAGTCTGTTTCTTTCTTTCATTACTTTGTTGTTCTTTCAAACAAATATTTTTTTTCTTTGGTTTCTTTTTTTTAGCTTGTTCTTTCGTTTGTTAGTTTGGTCATTTTTCGTTTCCGTTTGTTCTTTTCACTGTTTTTCTTTAACCTTAATTTTGCTTCTTTCACAAAGCTCACACACATACAGTGTTCACATTGCATAAGCCAAATAAATACCATTTTAACAGACAGACGTGACTGTAATTTTTGAGCATAGAGGGAGGGCGAATAAAAGAGAGGCAGAAAGAGCAAGAGAAAATAAAAGAAAGAAAGGCAGGCGGAGAGATGTGAGTGGAAGGGAGAGGCTGGCAGTCTCTAACCACTGTGGTCTCCAAATCATAAATTTGAGAGCGAGGGAGTGCGGTTGAGGGGGAAAAAAAGGAGTGGGTCGAGAAAAAAAAAGAGCAACAGAAGTGGGAGTGATTGGAAGCGTGAGGAGTGGAACGGCACAACTCGTTTGCACTGGCACTCGTGTGGGAATTTTTGACCCTCTCCCTCTTCCGTGACTCTCCTCGACTCGGCCAGGCGTAATTATTCCTCTCCTCTTTCACCTTGAGAGGTTTGCTCTAAAATGAGACGAGAGAGAGGGGGATGAAAATGGCAATCAAGATGGACAAACCCAGAGCGAGAGGCTAGAACGAGAACAAGGAATGAAAACAACAGGCTCCTCTGTCCGTCTCTGAACGCTTCCCATTCTGAGCGACTGACCGAAGACGAGCAGAAATCTCCGCTTACCCACATATGGGGCAGTGAGCGAGCGACAGACAGACAGCGAGAGGAGGGAGAGACCCCCAGGACACAATCACAGGAGAAAGCTTTTCCGCTGCCACCTCCCTCCATTTTTTTTCTCCCCCGTTTTTTGGGCTGCTCTTCATGGGAGGAATGTGGAGGCAGCATTTTCCAGGCAAGACGCATGTTTCCGAAATCGGCCAAAAGAAAAAGTGTGCGTGAGTGTGTTTGCATGCATGCATGCATGCGTGCGTGCGTGTGTGTGTGTGTGTGTGTGTGTGCAGTTCTCAGTGGTGTCACAAACCCATGTCTTGGCTGCTCTCTGTGACACATCTGCAAACTAGTTTGTGTGTGCAAACACACACAGTGCATTGTGAGCCTGACTCCTTATCAATTGTGTGTGTGTGTGTGTTTGGCAGCCAAATCCCGGGCTAATAGATCAGGAGGGGTGGAGAGAGAAGAAAAAGTGACGCAGCACAGATACGCTCTTATTAGACACTCACACATGCACCTGGTTTATTTCAGGTCCTGGACTGCCATTCAGTGAGCTGACTGTTTTAACTGCTTTTCCTGCAAGTTTCTATTTGGTTTGGAGCAAAAAAGCGTGTTTTGTGTGTTGTCAGAAAGATTGTTTGTGTGCATGTGTGTTCGTGTGTGTTTATTTTGTGACGGTTCGAGATGAGGTTGCTTGGTAACCACAAGCAGCAGTTGACAGTGAGGCGAGGCACTTGGCTGCCAGCTTTTTTTTTAATCCAAGATTGCTTGTGTCACACACACACACACACTTATTAAAATCACAGCGGCACACCTAAGCAAGAGGTGGGGAAACTCACACATACGGTGTGATGTACACGCTGCCATATTTAACACACACACACACACACACAATCCAGGTCAATGCAGCTCCATGGAAAAATCTCCTCATTTCCTTTTGTTTTTACAGACTTTTATTGTTCAAGGGATTTCAAAGAGCGTATTACATTTCTCTCGCTCGCTCGCTCACTCACTCTCAATAGTTTCACATGCAATGCAGGGATAGTTCACTGAAAACGTATTATTTATTTACCTTTGTGTTGTTACAAACTTTATGATGGAACACAAATGGAGATGTTTGGTAAAATGTTCCACGCTGCTTTGTCTGTTTAACAAAAGCCATAATTTACTCCTCCAAAAAAGCACTTTGAAAGTAATGTTTGAATAGAAAATTTCACATTTAAATTCAAATTTATTACGAACAGACCAAAATTTAAGTGATTGTTTGCTTCTCTTTGCATGTAGCTTTCAAATATAATGCATATTTGGTCTTTTCACATTGTGATTGGTCACCTGACATATAAGAACCAATGGTGTTCAAATTATGAACTCATAAATTGGTGCTCATAAATTGAGTTTATGCTTAAACAAGAAATATTTATTTTAAGAGAAAACAAGATTGTTTTAAAACTGAAACTATAATCAAAACCACAAAAAATAAACATTTTCATTACTTAAAAATAAATGTTAACTGAAAATAAAATGCAATATAAAAAATAAAACATTTTATAAATGTAAATATGAAAATAAAAAAACAATTCAGCTAGCTGCCAAAGCAACATTTCTAATTTTAATTTGGTTTAATTAAAAAATCTAAATCTAAAATTGTAACTAAAATTGAAATGCAAATGGAAAATATAAAAATAAAAACTATAATGATACCAAAATGTTCTTGTTTTAAGCACAAAACCTTTTGATAAATTTTATAGTGTTTTAGAAAACAAGAATTGATGTCAAATGTACAATGCAACATATTTGAATGTATGTGATTGCAAATGAGATTTGAAAGCTTTGGTGGAAGGAAAGTTTTCCTCATATAAAGCTGTTGTATGGTACAGAAGATTATGCACACAAACCATATGAACTACTTTTATGGTTCTTTTGTTTGATATTTTTGCAACTTGGCAGCCAATGGTCACCATATGTTTTCATTGTATGGAAAAAACAATTCTCTGTGTTCCAAGGAAGAGAGAAAGTCATGGGTTTTAAAACAACATGATGGTATATAAAAAAATTCTCCCCGCTGGGAGAAAACTGGAAGACAGAGAAATTGTGATGGCAATAACAAATAAAAAGCCTTGCATGTCAGAAATCGATGTTTTGTCAGGATCTTTTGTGCTCTGTGATCAGAGTAAATGTGGAGATGCCCGTGAAAAATGGCTGAAGAGCCGAGATTTCCCCTGCTGCTTTCTGATTGGATAATTCCCCTGCATGTCTCTGATTGGATAATGGTCGTGTACTGCTCTATATATATATATATATATATATACGTATATATATTTGACTATCTTGTTGTTTCTTTGTTTGTTTATTTACTTATTTATTTATTTCAGCATTTACCCAATATTTAAAATATATCTCAATATGTTAAACATTTAAACATCACCAAACGATTAAATGCCCCAATACTGGGTACATTTATATTTATATAATATAATATATTTGTATAGTTGTATGTATATTATTGGATTTATTTTTTAAGCCTTTTGCCAATATTCAAAACAATGCAACATATTTGAATGTATGTGATTGCAAATGAGATTTGAAAGCTTTGGTGGAAGGAAAGTTTTCCTCATATAAAGCTGTTGTATGGTACAGAAGATTATGCACACAAACCATATGAACTACTTTTATGGTTCTTTTGTTTGATATTTTTGCAACTTGGCAGCCAATGGTCACCATATGTTTTCATTGTATGGAAAAAACAATTCTCTGTGTTCCAAGGAAGAGAGAAAGTCATGGGTTTTAAAACAACATGATGGTATATAAAAAAATTCTCCCCGCTGGGAGAAAACTGGAAGACAGAGAAATTGTGATGGCAATAACAAATAAAAAGCCTTGCATGTCAGAAATCGATGTTTTGTCAGGATCTTTTGTGCTCTGTGATCAGAGTAAATGTGGAGATGCCCGTGAAAAATGGCTGAAGGGCCGAGATTTCCCCTGCTGCTTTCTGATTGGATAATTCCCCTGCATGTCTCTGATTGGATAATGGTCGTGTACTGCTCTGCTCAGGCTCTGTTTGTTTAAAAATCACTGAGTTTAAGTTTATCTTCGTTGTTCTTGTCCAAAAAAGCTTTTAGAGCTCTGAAATTGTTTATGGGTTGGAAAATGAACAGTCGGTACAGTTTTGTGAACATTGATTGGTTGAGCACCTACATTTTCTCCCCTTCTGATGTAGCGATCGCTCCAGCATGTCATTTGTCTTTCTGTTTGATGTGTCCACTGCTCATTTAAAGCGTGCCAGACCCCTGATCTCTCACATCCCTCCGAGAAACCCAGCTCTGCCTTAACATCTCCCACACAATTATTTTTTAATAATACTCTGGTAAATAATTCTCATTTGAAGTCTTTTTCTAAATACATGGTGGAGAGTGAAAAGACAGAAATCAGAGAACAAGATGTTTCCCCAAAGGCTATTAAATCAAATGTATTCATAACTCTGCCCAAATGCTGTAATCTCCATGACAACAAGACACATGGATGGGGGCGAACGGGAAGTTCACGTTTCTCTCGCTCTCTCTCTCTTTGTAGGTATAAGGCCACAAATCATGAACGGTCCGATGCATCCTCGGCCGCTGGTCGCTCTGCTGGACGGGAGGGACTGTACCGTAGAGATGCCCATCCTGAAGGATTTAGCCACTGTGGCGTTCTGTGACGCTCAGTCAACGCAGGAAATACATGAGAAGGTCTGCTTGAACTATTTTTCTTGCATCACTAGCACGACAGCAAACATATTGTTTTAGTTTAGTTGTTGTAAGTTTGCTGTATTAATTGAATCAGCAACTTTTTTTATTGAATTTGGATTCTAATTTTTTAGTTGAATACTCCAATACTGGAACTGGGAGAAAAAAAAAAAA